GGGGGAGGGGAGGGGGCGGTGCCGCGCGCCGAGCGGACAATTAGCGGGCGCGCGCTGCTGCCTCTGCTTATGCTCTTAATTACATCTGGTGCCGCCTTGCCGTAAGACCGTTTCGGGCTCTGTAAAGTCCCTGAGAGCCAGCGTCAAACCGCATCCCCCCCCTCCCCAAATAGTTAGCGAGATCTCCGATGTGTTTCATCTTCCTTTTTGGCTGTTTTTTTTTTTTTTTTAGCAGAGTGTGCTGGAAGGGACACTGCAGGTGCGCCCGCACCTGACAGGGAAAGCGCTTCCATTGTCTTCTTAGAATATGGTTTATTTCTGTTTTTATTGACTTAGAGAAAACGTTTTAAGCACTCCTTAACCCACAGGTTAATCTCCTGACTAAGCATTTTTCAAACATGAGCAGTGAAGTCTGATGAAAGACGTTAGGAGTGAACTGTCCGGTTTTTATTTATCTTCTCTAAAAGCTGGTTACCTGTCTTCCCTGTCTGCTCCTTGCCAGCCCTTGGTGTCTGTCACAGTATGTGAGCCCATTGTCTGGGGAAGCCCAGCAGAAGTGTTTGATGGGAAGACATAGGAAGATAATTACAAGTTCTATATTTGCTATTTTAACTGAATGCAAACCATACCGTGGTTTCTGCCTGCATTTGTGCTTAGCTAATCACAGGCCTTAATTTAGAATGCAAATGTTTTTAGCATGCTGTTGTTCATGTCAGCTCTCGGAGAATAGGCAAGTTTGCTTATTCATGCTACAGTAGGTCTGTAAGGGGCATTTTTGAGGTGTCAGGATGTTAAGTCGCGAGTCATTGGTTTTCTTTTAATTCTGAACCTTCAAAAATCCATGCAATGACTGTAAGGTATGCTATCCTTTTCTAGAGAGAGTAGAAATTGTTGTGAAATGTTCTGTATATAAATACACTCCCATGCTACTTTCAGATGTCCTTTAGAGGATGACAATGAAGATAAAAGAAATAGTGTCTTTCATAGGATGGAAATAGTTTTAAATTTATTAATACAAATACTAGTTGATCATTTTTAATAATGTTTCTTCAATGCTGATGAAACACATCAAAGGTGCCCTTTGACCTGTGTCATGTACTTCATTATTGTATTGATCATCCGGAACCAAATATTTTAGAATTAGATAAGTGATATTAAAGTTATTTTCTGTACCTTAGAGACATGCATTTTGCCTTCATGTGCCAGTTCCTGCTTGTCTTGCATGAAATACGGGGACAAAGAGTTGTGGGGAATTAAAATGTGAACCTGTCTGAAATACAAGTTATTATTTTGAATATCCAGGATTTGTTGTTGTGTAACAAGCCAAGGGAGTGGATGTGTCTCTTGTGTTAGGCCCTCTATTTGGATTTAGGGAAAGAACAGCCAAAAAAGTGATGACCTAGAGAGCAGCGTTTGATTTGGAACCCATAACCTTTAGTAAATGTAGTGAAAGTACCAGTATCTGAACCCTCCTGATAATTTTAGCACAAGGTAGAAATAGACTAATGGGAAAAAGCAGCAATAAAATGTGTATGTTCCTAGGCAGTATGACTGGGGGCACAACTATATCAGACAAATAAATGTAGCTATAATGTAAATAGACTCTAAACAGCTTACGAAACAGAGACTGGAGTGAGCAAAATGGGGTATTTTGTCTGAAACTGTTTCAGAGTTTGAATAACAGAGGAGCAAATGTACAATACATTAAAGAGGTGAAGTGGTTGGAGCAAGTAATGTCCTGGGTGAGGATTAAGTTAGGCCTGGAAATACTGACACATTTGTGGTGACAGTTGGAGGAGTAGGATTTTATATCTACTTACTACATTACACACTATACAGCATAAATTATGTATCAACAGTATGTAGCCTGCTGCCATTCACACTGGAAATTATTTTAGAAACATTTGCTGCTGAGTTATGTAACCTAGCTTTCCTTTCCATTGCATTCTATCCACATTTGTGATGACAAACTAAATAAAGATGGTATTCACTTTTAGCTTGCTTAATTACATAAACAGCTACTGCATGTGCCTTTTAGTTTTACCATAAGGAAAGTAGAAGTGGAAAAAACATGTCTGCTTTTAAACTGGCAAATATTTGAAATTCACCCACAGGTTAATACCTTAACTTCAGAATCAAAAATGTAACCTGTGACTATTCATCCTTTTCTATCAAATTTCTGCCTATTAAGATTGAATAAAAATTGGTTTGCTTATCAGGGCAGAGAATAAAAGAAAAAAAAAATCCTCTTTTGGTTCCTTTTTAATCCCCCCATATTTATTTGAGTGTTATTGTTCTATATACTTAAATGAAAAATGCAGTGCAATTGCATGGTTATACAAGTTACCCTTTGCCTCATATAAATTTTATTTTTAACTGTTTTTTCAAAAATTTCTTAATATCATAATTTATCATCAATGACATGATTTATCATTAGTGCTGTCTAACAGGGGAGGTCACGGACGACTGCAGGTTGGCCAATTTGATGACCATCCACAGGAAGAGCTGGAAGGAGGATCTAGGGAACTACAGGCCTGTCAGCCTGACCTTGATCCTGGGGAAGGTCACGGAACAGATGACCTTGAGTGCCATTATGTGCCACTTGAAGGGCAAACAGAGGATCAGACTCAGCCTGCATGGATTTGGAAAAGCGTGTTCTGTGTGATCAACATGATTGCCTGTCATGAGCAGGTGACCTGCCCGGTTGATTAGGGAAGGGCTGTGGCTGTAGCCTACCTGGGCTACAGGGTAGCCTTTCCAACAGCAACACTGTTTCCCAGAGCATTCTCCTGGAAAAGCTGACTGGAGTGAACAGGCACACCCCTTGCTGGGTTAAAAACGGTCGGGAAGGCTTTGCCCAGAGAGTGGCTGTGAATGGACATCCAGCTGGTGACAGTCACAAGTGACATTTCCCTAAGCTCAGGATTGGGACCAGCCCTGTTCAGTTTCTTGATGATCTAAATGAGGGTGTTGAGTAAATTCACACCAAGCTGGGCTGGAGTTGATCTGCTGGGGGGCAGGAAGGCTCTGCAGAGGGATCTGGACAGGCTGGATCATGGCTGAGGCCAATGGGGTGAGGTTCAGCAAGGCCCAGTGCTGGGTCCTGCCCTTGGGTCACAACAACCCCAGGCAGTGCCACAGGCTGGGGCAGAGTGGCTGGAAAGGACCTGGGGGTGCTGGGGACAGCAGCTGAACATGAGCCAGGGAGTGCCCAGGTGGCCAAGAAGGCCAATGGCATCCTGGCCTGGATCAGCAATGGTGTGGCCAGCAGGGCCAGGGCAAGGATTTTCCCCCTGTATATGGCTTCTGTGCTGATGAGGCCACACTTTGAGTCTTGTGTCCAGCTCTGGGCCCCTCACGCCAAGAACAGCACTGAGGAGCTGGAGCAAGGTCAGAGAAGAGCAATGGGAGTGAGGAAGCTGGGTTAGCTTATCCTAGAGAAAAAGAGGTTCAGGGATGATGTTATCACACTCCAGAGCTGCCTGAAAGGAGATTGCAGCTAGGAGGGGGTTGACTTCTTCTCCCAGGAAAGACGTGGCAGGGTAAGAGGACATGGCCTTAAGGGGTTCAACTGGGACATCAGGAAAAATACCTTCACAGAACGTGATGTTAACCTTTAGAATGTGCTGCCTAGGGAGATGTTGAAGTCCTTGTCCCTGAGGTGTTCAAGAAATGACTAGACATGACACTTAGTTCTGTGGTCTAGCTGGCAAGGTGGTCAGTTTAAGGTTGGAGTCCTTGATCTTCAAGGACTTGATCTTCAAGGTCCTTTCCAAGTCAAATGATTCTGTAATTAGTAAATCCCTGAAAGAATGCAATTGTTAATAAACTTTAATCTTCTGGTTTTGCCAGTATTCTAAAATAATGATGCCTTTTTTTTTTTTTTTTTTTTTTTTTTTTTTTTTTTTTTTTTCTTTTTTTCTTTTTGTCTCTTATGGAATGCTGCATGATTTTCAGCCAGCCAAAATTGGTTTGGCCTTCCATTATTATGCAAGTTATTCTAGTCTATAAAAGTAGAATGTGTAACTGTAAAGAAAACTGATGGAAAATGAAGATATTATGCTAATTCCTGAAATCAACTTTTCATTATGTT